CCCGCGGGAAAAAAGAGGTGTGACATTCACTAGTGGTAACAATAATTCAATTGATCTTATTATGGATGTCATTAGGAAGTATGAAGATATTTCTGAGCAAAAAGTCAATATTGATAAGAGTTTCTTTTTAACTGCTCCTAATACTTGTGCCAATAGAATTAACAGAATTAGAAATATCACGGAATTCATGGATAAGAATTTCCCTTTTAATTACTTAGGTTGTCCAATTTATATTGGTAGGAAGAAGATTGCTTATTTTGATTGTTTGGTAAACAAAATTATTAAGAAATTGAATGGTTGGCATGGAAAAAACCATTATCTTAATAAAGCATATTCTGCAATCATTGCCTATCTATACTCTTTCTGCTATGTCGCCCCCTCCCCCCTAAGGTACTTTTAATCTCATTGAAAAATATTTTATTAATTTCTTCTCGGGTCTCTTTGGTAAGAAAAATAATTTTCATTGGAGATCTTGGAAGAAGCTATACTATCCTTTAGATTAGGGAGGTATAGGTATTAAGAGAATGGAAACTTTTGATAACATGTTAGCTGCTAAAAGATGGTGGAGAATTAGAACAATTCCTTTTTTGTGGGCTGATTATATGAAGCATAAATATTGTGTGAGGTCTCATTTGGTAAGTAAAAAAAAATCTGATAAGGACTCACATGAATGGCAAAAGCTGAGAAAAATCAGAGACAAAACAGAACCTCATATCTTCTGGCTTATAAACTCTGAAAACTCGAGCATTTGGTGGGATAACTGGACAGGAAAGGGCCCTCTGGCAACTTTACATGATGATATCAATATTAATCTCAAGGTGCAGGTTAAAGAGTATATTCAAAATGGAAAGTGGAACAAGAATAAACTTGGAAGCATCTTCTCTGAAGAGACTATAAAACATATCATGAAGATTAACATTGGAGACCAAAATATTTCTAATCAACCTATTTGGGACCTCACAGAGAATGGTAAGTACTCAAATAAAATTACTTACAATTTGCTCAGAAACAAAGATCAATTACTGCACAAGGTATGCCAATCTAACATTCCTTTTAAAATATCCTTCTTTGCTTGGAGATTATGGTTATCTAAACTTTCATTAGATGAAATCATTCTTAAGAGCATATTGTTTCTAAATATTCTTAACCATGTCAATGAGTCTCTACAACATGTCTTTATGGAAAATGATACAGCTAAAGAGATTTGGAATTAAGTCATTGGTGACCCGATGGGGATAAAACATGTGCAAATGCTTGTCAGAGGATGGTTCAATCACTGGTGAAAATAAAAATACAACAATGAAGTCCACAAACAGAATCTTCAAATTACTCCAACCATCATTTGTTGGAAAATTTGGAAGGCTAGATGTTCTTGCAGATAAGGGGATCAAAAAAGATTCAACTATTACAAGATGAAGCAACGGATAGTTTGGAATATTCAAGCAGCTCTACAAAGAGTTTTCCCTAAATGCAAACTAATATTGCCCTGGTTCAAATTCTATGATGATATGATAAAATTACAGCTTGTTCAAGAGGTCATCATTGTCACTTAATTGAAGCCTCCTTAGGGAACACTCAAGTTAAATACTGATGGTAGTTATATCCAAGGTAATGGTAAAGCTGGTCTCGGTGGCACTCTGAGAGATGATCAAGGTGACTTTTGAATGGCTATGCTATCCCAGCTAAATGTGATAGCCACAATGAAGCTGAAGCTCAGGCAGTACTGTTCGGGATTAAATGGTGCATACAAAATGGGGTCACTGATTTTACAATCGAACTTGACTCTCTTTTAGTGACAAACATGCTGAAGAACAACCATACTCGACACTACAAATTGCAAAGAACTATGGAGGAGATCTCACAGTATATAAATCGTGCCAATATCACTCCTACTCATTGCTATAGGGAAGCTAACCAAGTGACGGATATTTAGCAAAGTATGCAACTAATGCTATGGAGGATAATATCTACCTCTCCTTTAATCAAATGCCCAGGGGAGCAAAAGGACCCTTTCTTTTGGACAAATTTCAAGTTCCTAGTGTTAGAACTAGGTACGACAAAGCGAACTTTTTTGTTAGTTAGATATACATTGTACCTTCACAGAGGTTGATAATTTGATCACATGTCTGTGTTTTTGCCTAGTGTTGTAATCTATGGAGGTAAGGCAATCCTCCCTCCTTTATTATAGGTATATACAAAGCAAAAGAAAAAATAATCTTATTGAGATTTACTATGAGCCACAATGTTGCCAAATAAAGGTCGATAACCCAACTTGACAAGAATGGAATATAATAGCTTATAGAAATGATTAAGTTGTGTAGAATCGTAATGAATTATAAGTGAGGAAACTGAAGGTATTTATAATCTAAGCCTAACGTTCATATGCTTATTTACACTCTTGCACGTTACTCTAGGTGGTTAGCAACCTTCGAGATACTCGTCGGTTGTGGAATAATATCAGGCGTTGTGAATATGAGTCAATCCAAAATATTTCGAAGACGGTTAAAGACCAAGTAAGACTTCGAATTATAGCTTCATTAATGGATCCCCGTCTCGTAATGCCTCACCGGGGCACCGCTTTCATTTTCCCGGAAATGAGTTATTGGATCTAAGATATTTCTCATTAGGGCAAACTCCCGCTGCTTATTCATAACCAGGAATGACACTTATTCTTAGTAGTATCGTGTCGCCATGTAAACTATTCACGTGCTAAAACTAGATTTTTCCAATACAATTACAAATAGGATTTAAAAGATCTGAACTAATTAATGATAGAATAATCATTTCATAATTATATGAATTAAGTATCTGATGTTGGTTCCTCTATTCAGAGAAATTTAAGTAAAGCTAAAAAGTAACTCCTAGCTAGGTGTCTGTGGAATCTTGACTCTTATATATGGACATGCAGTACATAAGGTTAAGTTCCAAAGAGGAGACTAGCGTCATCAGAGGGTTGTGCCTTTATCCTCCAGATCAAGGTGGGATGCAGTCTTGTCAATATTATTTCATTGTCTCGGAAAAAGAAAAAAGAAAAAAAAAGGACGAATATATCTTATCAGGTAAGAAAAATCTGGAACTTTTTATTTCGTGCTGACACTAGTTGTGTGAGGTATCTTTTTTGTCTCACAAGTTTGTGGAGCCAGAATTTCGTAGACCAAAAAGTATAAGATATGAGCCCACAAATTTGTGAAATAAAAAAGGTTTTCATACAACTAATGTCAGTTGTGCGAGACACAACATAAAACTTCTGGAAAAACCTAGTTAACCTTGCAATTAAGATCATATCTAGAGAGACGCATGTTTAATTAAGAAGACCTTACCTCCAAGTTATATTAGAGATAGCTAGTGGTGGCACAATGGTTAAAAGAAAACGGTTATCCACCCATATTATTCATTACAAAATGGATTGGATAATGAACTGTTTACAAACGTATCAAATATGGATTAGAACCATATTATCCACTTAAAAAATGAATAATCAATGAATTTAACTTTTACATTTGTAAAATTTCAAATTGGGGGTTTCTCAAGTTTGGGAGTTAAGGAATTCTCCCAAAAGTGATCATATTCAAGATGCCATGAATAATATGTATATCTATATTACCCGCCGGTTAACCTTATTAAATATGGGTCGGATCAGATAATTTATTCGTTTTTGCATTACCCATTTTCAACCCGCCTATATCTAATCCGACCCGCCCGTTTGCCACCCTGGATATAGCTAATTAATCCCTTGCCATGGGATCTCATAAACATATGACCAAAATCTTTGATGAAACGGAAGTATTACTCCTTTTATCACAAAAACAATGGCCGTGTTTGGACTTTGGAGTACGCAAGGGTCACACATCTAATTTTGATAAAATATTGATTTTTAAATTTTTTAAGTATACTTTACATAGTCTTAAGCTGCAAATAATATATATATATATATATATATATATATATATATATATATATATATATATATATATATATATATATATATATATATATATATATATATATATATATATATATATATATATATATATATATATATATATATATATATATATATATATATATATATATATATATATATATATATATATATATATATATATATATCCACGGGCGGATGCACAAGGTAGAAGCGACACCGTTTCGCTTCGCCGGAAAAAATATTAAATGTTTATACTAATATCTGTAGAAATGAAGCAATATATAATAATGATTCCGCTCATTCTTAGTAAAGAATACTTCTTGATCCACTGGTCAAGCTTATATTTGGACTTGTAAAGGCCGTAGGTTCAAGGCTGGACCTAGACATTCTATTTTTTGAACATTTTTGAGCGAGCATTTTTGTTAAAAATTTGAGACTAAAGAGAATTGAACATACGCTTCTCTCTTCAATAATATTCAATTAAACCAATGGCATTAGATAATATATATTTATTTATTTATTTATTTATTTATTTATTATTATTTATTTAAATACGACACCTCTTACAAATGTTTTTTGTATACGCCCCTGTATATATCATTATTTTTATTTAGCAATATCATTAGAAAATAATGTAATTAAAGAAATTCTATTTGACTTCTCTAAAATATAGTTAGAACAATTTCCTCTTTTTAAGCTTGTAATGTGATAAAATTTTCTGCACTCAACTTTTACACAAAATCAATGAATGCAGTTTAAGTTATATACATCGAATTAAAGTGTATATATAACATAAACTCATGTGTTATGTGTTTTTCATATATGATGGCTTAATATATCACACATATTTACCTTTGTAAGGTTGGGGCCGCAAGTTAACATGAACCGTCGTAATTAATTTTGCAAGTGCGTCTGCAAGCATTAGGAACACTGGAGTTTGACCAAGTCTATTCCCAAAAAGAGAAGATGAAGACAGTAGATCCGTTAACTTAGCTAGCTAGAGCTAGCCTAGGGTTGTTACCGATTCTTTTTTTTTTTTTCCTCTCTGAAAGATTCCATCGTACAAACATAGATATGAAAGCAACAATCCTCCATCTTTTATGCAAACCAATCATGTGGCATTCACAAAATAACATCAAACCCTACTAAAACCGTAAAAATTAACAGTAATAACAAAGAAACAACAATAATAATATCAATTACTAGAAGAAGATGCAAAAAAACGAATTACATTTTTTCCCCTTCTTTTAGCTAAGCTAGGGTTTAACACCCACCCACCACCATCACATGGCTCTAGGAACTTGTGCTTCAATAGATTCAGGAATTATAAGTCAAAATATTGGACAGGAACAATCAAAAGGATCTCCAAAAAGATCTCTGCTTTCTTATTCCGCCAGTTGACTCTTTTGGCTTCCACTGATTTCTTGAATCATAACATCCATCCAAAAGGCCTATCATTTCAATCTAGTCTAGTGAATATTTAAGAAGAATCCGAGCCTTGATAGGGTGATTTAGCATCCTCCATATGCATGCACAGGGGGTTATATACTAGGACTATAGTCAGGTTTGAACTTCTTTTTTAGCCCCACCTCTTTTGCTGGATAAAACCTCCTTTCCAAAATGCTGCAAAATTTTAAAAAATTAAATTGTCAGCTCCTAATTAATTGTATACATGCATTATATTATATTATCCTCTATTGATCTATCTATAAGCTTAACTATAAATTAAAATACTACAATGATTTTGTCACTTGAATTACATACTAAGATAATGATGGATAGCTCACCAGATGTAGTGTAGGGCAGGGCTTGGTGTTACATTAATGGAAAGAACAAAAGTTGTTGCTGAGTCCTGACTGATTAATAAATTTTTGTCTTTGGTCATCTGCACCCCATAAGAGCTGTCCATTACCCTGAAAAAGATATGTACTTGTCCATGTTAAATATACATCAGGCATACTATTTCTCAATTGTATTCAACAGTAGGATCCATCATAGTATGTCTTTTAGGTTTTTGTCTAGTTGGTGATTATTTAAAGAGTTACCATATTCAATGAATATGCAATACCTGAGAAATGGAATTAGGAAAATGTGCTTGTTGAAACATGAGTGAAGCTGAATTATCCAAGAAAGGATAGCCACTATTATTAATGTTAGGAATAACTTCAGCTGCCTGCGATGTAATGTTAGTAGGGCTAGCTTGCTGCATATTTGGCAGTGGTGTTCCCAATCCACTCAAACTCTGAAAAGAGATTAAAGAAAAAAAGAGTCTGATTAATTAATACTGAAAAGTAGTAGTAATAAAACTACTAAATATTTAAAGAAAATCCATAAACTGAACTAAAAAGTTTCTACCTGGTCAGGTCTGACCATGAGTGCATCTAAGTCCATGCCAAAATCATAGTACATTGGATTCAAAGAAGCAAGTTTCATGAAGAGAAACTGAAACATGGGAAACACAATAATATTAATATTTTAGGTAATTGAATGAGACAGTTAATTAATCATACAAGGTCAAATAAAGGATATTATTAATTACTTATTATTTTTACCTCAACTTGGTTTTGCAAAGATTGGACATAATTGATTATCTCATCCAACATGAGGGCCTTCCCAGTTACCTGATCTCATTCAGGTCACATGAAAAATGTCAGAACAATTAAATAAATAAAGAAAGAAAAATATACAGACTACTTTTCTTGAAAAAGTGTCACTCTACTGTACATATAAAGACAAATAAAAGACAAATTACTGAACTAACTTTGTTATTCACCTTGTCACAACCAGGAACAATAGATTGCAGTATCTTCATCCTTTCACTTATTTTCTCTCTCCGCACCTGAGATCATGTCACAAGTTAAACAGTAAGAAAACTGTTCCAAACGAATAATTACCATATATATATAGAACATCAGTAATTAATTATTATCTTAGTGAAAAGAATTAATCCTATTAATTACAAAATGGCTAAAGGGGAAAAAGAAAATTGTACCCTTTCAGCAAGACTATGGCTGTCTGTTGCTTGACCCCTTCTTGCTCTAACATGAATGTAGCCTGTTGGAGCCTCTTCATTAGCTTTCTTCTCCTCTTTTCCCTTTTTCTCCTCTTTGGCTACTGATTGGCTATTGCTTTTCTTCTTTTTCCCATTATCAACCTGTTTTACATTCTAAGAAAAAACAGATATATAATTAATCCCAATTCAAATTCATCAGGAGAAAGGCCAAGAACTTTATCAAGGAGATGAAAATTTATAGACATATATAGAAGAACTATATTACCTTAGAATGAGCAGAACTCATTGAGGAAGACCCTTCTCTGGATTTTCTTTTCTTGTCCATAGGAGTAAAATTAGGCTTATTCCTACTTTCTATTTTATCAGTGACAGAGGAAGAATCCATATCCAAGCTAACACTGCTGCTACGGTTGTTGGTCACAGAATTAGGCTCATTTTGGCCAAGTGTAACATTTGTGCTTTGGTCAAGGCAATAGCTACTTTCATGAACAATCACATTGGCAGTTGGGAGCTGCTGAAAAAAATTCTGGTTGGTAAAATTGAGTAAAACATCTGTACTATAGAATTGTTTTGTTCCTCTAAAAAACCAGACATCTTAATAGGAGAACTTGGCAAAAAAACTGAGTCAAGAAGGAAAGGGTTTGTGTGCTGCAATTGGTATGAAAAAGCAGCCATCTTTTTTTTAAAAAAAAATTCTTCTTTATTAGTAAATGATTTGCTTTGGAAATCCCAAGGGAAGGATTCAAGAAAGTGATGGAAGAGAGAAATGGTAACCAGAGGTAGTAATCAAGAGAGAAATAAATATTATAATGAGTTTGAGAAAGTCCCAAAGGGTCAGGTTTATATAAACATAAGGAGAGAGATAGGACATCCAAATATTAGCTAAAAATACTTTCTAGCTCATTCCCATGCAGTTGCTTTGTATTTGACTGGTCTAATCAAGCTTTGGGAAGGTGGGGGCTATTAAATATGCTTAGCTTATATCTATATACAACTCTCTTTTTTTTTCTTTTTTTTTTTTTTTGTATAAAACAATTTTCATTTAACATATTAAATAATTTAAGCTAGCAGATAATGATGTCAGAACAGTACAATCATTATAAATATACACAGTACCTTGTGTTAAAATTTCCTCAAACATGAAGGGCAACCGCAAGGGCCAATGGGAATTATTTATGGCGAACAATTATAATCAAGTGTCAGTTGTTTTTTTAGTCTTCTTTTTTTATGGCTCAGTTTTCCTTCCGTGAATCAGAGATGCAAACACTGGGGATATGATGATTCAAGCCAGTTATCTAAATGACAATTCACTAGCTATTTATTGCTGTTATTAATTGTACTTGTATTCGTCATCTTTTAATACTATAATAATAATTGTACTAATCTGTATGCCCTATACTTAATCTATTGCTTCTAGCACTAATGCAGTTATGGCTGTGTGAGAAGAAAAAAAACTAGTAGTGTACCATGATTAATGATAAAATCTGGTGAGAAAGTGTATTACCTAACCATATATCTAACTAATAACATCTTATATAAAAGGGAACATCATATAACACGTCAAACATATACATTATATTTACCATTTGTATCAATACTTTCAGCAAATTTATCATCCGTAGTTATATTTAAATTTTATAGCAAATTCATGAAACAAGAGATTAATTATTTTGAACTGAAATAAGAGAACAATAAGCTCTCGTAAGTCAGTTGGTTATAGCGTCCGCTTAGTTACCGGAGGTCTTGAGTTCATCTTTCAACAAGAGCATCTTAATTTTTTTGTATTTCTGTATTTTGCCTTGGTTATGAATACAGTCGATACAGGTTGTATCATTTGTATATATACACCCCTGTATTTCGCCTTGGTTATAGTTGGTACATGTTGTATTCGTTGAATACATTCGCTCGTTGTATTCGTTGAGCGTTTGAATACAAGTGATGTAACAATTAAACAGTAGTTACGAATGGTATAATTACTAGGTTCTAAACTATAGTGCTTTATGAAAGTCTTGAGTCCATTTTTCAACAAGAGCATCTTATCTTTCTGTATTTCGCCTTGGTTACGAATACAGTCGATACAAGTTGTATCCTTTGTATACGCATTTCGCCTTGGTTATAGTTGATACATGTTGTATTCGTTGAATACATTCGCGCGAGTGATGTAACAATTAAACAGTAATTATGAATGATAATTAGGCAAACTATAATTACTACGCTGTAAACTATAGTGTTTTATGAAAATTGATATCGTAAAAACTGATGTCAGGTATTTATACATTGAATTGGGCCAACGTGAATAAGCACATTTTCATACTCTTGCCAGAAAACCTAGCTATATATTTGAGTTTTAGCCTACAACTTGTGGTGATGATAAGAGCAATAGGAAAATTTATAAGCAATAGGAAAATTTATATATCTGAGTTTTAGCCTGCAACTTGTGGTGAGAAGAAGGTAAATATTAATAATAATAATAATATGAAAAATTTATAAGCAATTTACCTTTTTTCTATAGTACAGTTTAATTCTGAAATTTTCTTAAAAACACAAGCAAAATCATCATATTACGACATTCAATTAAATTAATACCAAAATATAGCTCAATTCCTTAAATATTTAGCTTTCTGTGTAAACATTAATTCTCTATGCTGAATCGTTTCTACTTGATTAATGGCAATTCATATCCTAATAGGAGTAAGAATTTTGAGACTTTCTATCTTCACTCAAAATGTAAAATACAACTATAGGACAGTTCAGACCATTGATCGGTATTTGAACATTGTTGGGCTTTTGTCTTTGTCTAAGTCCAGGCTGTTCTTGAAGCTCATTCAGTCTTAAAACGTGAAACTACACATTTGATCCAGCCCCACAAACAAAATTTGTCCTCCTTACTATGTACTAGTATCAGTAGTTTTCGATTATAAGTTACAAGTTACAATATTTGAATATGACATCTAGGATAAAACCACCAAAGGATGTGGTGCAGCGGATGAAGTTATTATTCACATAACCAGAGATTTCGGGTTCGAGCCTTGGGTATGGAAAAATTCTTGCTGGAAAACGCTTCCCCCCGAATGGGGCCCTACGTGGCGCGAATCCAGATATAGTCGGGGTTCCAATATGGGTACTGAACAACGTGTGAGAAACAAAAAAAAAAGAAGGACATATCGGTTAAAAATATCGTTTTCATTTGTGAAAAGATTAAAGGACAGTTGCGTAAAGTGAAACAAAATTTTACTTTTCTTTTCCTTTTACTAAGGCTCCATTTGGATTCATTAATCTGGAAACTAATGCTATTGCACACAAAATTGCTAATTACAAATTTTTTTTATAACCAGAAAATTCTGCTGTTAGCATCTCCGTGGTTGATGAATTTCAAATCATCTTTATAATTAAGTTCTCAACTTTGAGTCAATGACATTTGAGCTAAAAGCTCCAATTTTTGGGAAGAACTTTAAATCACTTATTCAGCGGGAAATTTCAAACTTTGGCACATTTTATGTAGGTATATGTTTTCTAAATGTTTTATCAGTTATTAATTCAAGTCTAAATGATGAAAATTAAAAGGTGAGCATTTTTTAAGGAAATACTCAAGAAACTGATTAATAATAATGTATAATTAAATTTAGTAAATGGAACATAACTGGAAGACATGAATTAGTCCCATCAATAAATAGTCAAGCAACTAAGCAAGCAAGTAGAACACGGCTACTTTTGAAAATCTGATATAAAGTAATAAACTGACTGAAAAATCGACAGCGGAGTTTCAATTTATACTACTTTAATTCAATTAGGAGTACGTGAAAAGAAAAACAAATACACCATAGTGTAAAGAAATATTTAATAACCAGGTCACCATTCAAATATCTACATGTAATCATCAAGAAATAAAATGAAATTTATAATCTTAAAAATAAAATAGATAGATAAAAATAATCTGATAGTGGAAAAATCTGTACACCAAAATGGATATTAGTTAACTCCAAGTAAAAACACCTAGATAATTAATCACCTTGAAGACAATAAATTAATTAATGCCTGTTGTCAAGATCGATGATACTCAAATGTGGCCTATTTGAATTTTAGCCTGGGGACCAAAATGGCTTTCACTGTCACACGAATCCTGGTTATTAACGACACAACACATAGTATGGTAAAAGCAAAATTCTTCAGGTTAATCTTTTGGAGCCCCTGGGCCACCTAGTAATTTGATTTTCTAACAGTTTTTGTATTTTACTTCCTCTACTTGTTTACGGGGCGAAGCTGGGCCTCAAGGGAATTCATCGCAATTCTCTTCGTCTGAAAATTATAGTGTATATATGAGATCAAGCAAGGTATAACTCTCTTGATAAAGATGAAATTTCTGTCTCCGCCATTACTTGCATCAACCAAATTGAAAGAGCAAAGTCTTTTGTCCTACACCAGCTATTTGTAATTTGCGTGCTTATCCCTTGACTAAGTAGTTTAAAGTGTGACCAGATACTACTAGGGACGTACTTTGAATAATCAAATATGTTCATGAAACACGCACCTAACAACTATGTTTTGCTATTGCTATTACTGTGTATTGGTGTAGTGCCAAGTTTAATTAATTAATTACACATTATTAGTGTATATAACCAATGTGTTACGAGAAACGGTGTGGNCACACACACACACCAAAAAAAAGTAAGTAAATTAAAAACATGTCTCATCAAGTTATTTAATATTCATTGTAATATTTCACATAAAGATTCAACATTTTAAGGAAAGAGTTACAGATTCCTTTAGTAATTTCTGAGAGTACTGTCTTAATTAATTTTGATGGGACATTCTTTATTCCTAAACTTTCACATAAATTTATGTATTTATATCTTCTAGAAGTTTATTCAATAGGTTCAAATTAAATTGTTAATTTAAACCCCAATAACTTAAAAGGAATAAAATTCTGAACTTATAAACTTTAAATTCTACATTACTTCTATAATCACATGAGTGAAGTATACAAAATCTTAGCTAAATTGTGTCGAACGAGTGCAATTGATTAACTTTTGCTTATGATCATATTCAATTTTCAAGGATTGGCCAACTGGGATCCAACCATGTATGAAATGCGGCAAAAATGTTAGTATTAAATATTAATACACCGAATTCTCTCCTGGATCTGATCAAGTACGATAACTAGCTCAGCTATGAGCTTTCAACCTCAAATGTGATACTCGTGGTCAAAGCTATGATACATATTATTTCAACACAATGCCTGAATCAATGCCCCTACTGCGATATAATTGAAAACTCCATTTTTCAGTACTTCAGTTATCCCATATATTGTCTTGATATATATGTCAAAACATCGATACAGAAACAATAGTACTATTGCGAAGGAAGAACATTGAGACTTATAACTAAGCTATTACTAGTACTTTCGGAAAAATTTGATCCTATATATCAAAATGCAAATTAAACCATTAGACAACCCAAATATAGTGGAGTAACTAAATATTTTGTACAACTAACAGCTTGTTTGGATGGTTGTTACCGGGGCAGAGCTAGAGAGCTAAGTGGGGGTTCAGCCGAACCCAATAGCTTTGGTTCGAACTATGTATTTGTTTTAAAAAATCTATTGAATATGTATAAATTATTATTTAGAACCCAGTAACTTAAAACAATTAAAATCTTGAACCCATAAGCTTGAAATCCTCGCTCCGCCTCTGGTTGTTACCTATCGTATTGTATTGTATTGTTACTTTAAATACAATGTTTGTTTTGATTGTTACTTTAATTTTATTGTATCGTATTGTTAAATTCATCGTTATGTAACGATGAAAAGTGTCACTTTATGAAACGACAGATTTGGTGAGGTGGCTTCGTTTCTTT